GTATCCCTGCTGGGGTCTTTCACAAGAGCAGATAAACAATCTAAACAGACCTATAACCCCTAATGAAATAGAAGCAGTCATCAAAAGTCTCCCAAACAAAAAAAGCCCAGGCCCAGATGGCTTCAGTGCAGAATTCTACCAGAAATTCAAAGAAGAGTTAACTCCAATACTCCTCAAAGTATTCCACACAATAGAAGCAGGAGGCTCACTGCCAAACTCTTTCTACGAGGCTACAATTACCTTGATACCCAAGCCACACAAAGACACAACTAAGAAAGAAAACTATAGACCAATTTCCCTCATGAACATCAATGCAAAAATACTCAATAAAATACTCGCAAACTGGATTCAAGAACACATCAGAAAAATCATCCACCATGATCAAGTAGGCTTCATCCCAGGAATTGATACAGGAGAACACTTCCTGTACATAACCCTAGTAGCACAGACACTGACATCAACAGTTAACAAATGGGACCTCCTGAAACCAACAAGCTTCTGTAAGGCAAAGGACACAGTCAACAAGACAAAAATGCAGCCCACAGAATGGGAAAAGATATTCACTAACCCATGTCTGATATAGCTGATCTCCAAAATTTACAAAGAACTCAAAAAGCAAGTCTCCCAAACACCAAAGGATTCAATTAAAAGGTGGGGTACAGAACTAAATAGAGAATTCTCAATAGTGGTGTCCAATATGACTGAGAGACACTTGAGAAAGTGCTCAACATATTTAGCCATCAGGGAAATGCAAATCAAAACAACTCTGAGATAATGGCTACAATCAAAACCACCGAAGTCAATTTATGCTGGAGAGGATGTGGAAAGAGGGGAACACGCCTCCACTGCTGGTGGGAGTGGCAACTTGTACAGCCACTTTGGAAATCAGTATGGAGATTCCTCAGGAAAATGGGAATCAATCTACCATAAGACCCAGGATTCCATTCTTAGGCATGTATCCAAAAGATACAAATTCATACAACAAGGACATCTGTTCCACTATGATCATAGTAGCATTATGTGTAATAGCCAGAACCTGGAAGCAACCTAGATGCCCCTCAACTGAAGAATGCACAGAGAAAATGTGGTACATTTACACAATGGGAAAACAACAGGATCTTGAAATTTACTGGCAAATGGACGGCACTAGAAGAAACCATCCTGAGTGAGGTAACCCAGTCACAAAAAGACAAGCATGGTATGTAATAACTCATATATGGATTTTAGGCATGAAACATAGGAGTTCCAGCCTATAATCCCACAGCCAGAGAGTCTGGGAAACAGGGAGGACCCTAAGAGATATATGCATTGTAACCTAGAGAGAACAGAAAAGAATTTTCTGAGAGGATTGGAAGCATGGAGGGAGACATTAGGAAGCCAGGAGAAAGAGAGGGGATAAAGAGGAGGGGAGAGGAGTTCATGGGGGAGCAGGAAAGTTGAGTTGTGGGAAGAATAGAGGAGAGATCAAAGAGAGACACCACAATAGAAGGAGCCATTATAGGTTTGAAGAGAGATCTGGCACTAGGGAGATGTTCAGAGGCCTACAAGTATGACAACAACTGGCAAACTAAGCAATAATAGAGAGGCTATCATAAGTGCCCTTCTCTGATAATGTGATTGATGACTTCCTTGTATGACATCCTAGAGCCTTCATCTAGTGGCTGAAGGAAGCAGAGGCAGACATCCACAGCTAAGCATTGAACTGAACTCCTGGAACTCAGTTGCATAAAGGAAGAAGTGATGCATGCTTCAAACCTTTCCACCAAGGACACTGGCCAGTGTTTTAAACTAAGAAAGCTTTAGAAACCAGAGTGGATCTTACCAAGACAGAGGACTTACTTCACTTCCAGATGGCAACTATACAGAGAGCTTGCAAGGCTGTGGAACTGGACATGATTCTGGAAGGAGCCCAGTTTCTGTGGCATCAGCAGATATTTACATGATTCTGCAGCCAGCAGTCAAAAAGAGAACCCCAAAAAGAAAGTGGAGAAATTGCTAGTGCTGCTGACATTACAATCACTGTCCTAATCTATTTTAAGCCCCTTCAAATTTGACACCCCACTGGACAAACTTCCATAGCTAAAAACTGAGGCAGCTACTGACACACTCTGATGTACATAAAAGTTTTGCCTATTGGACACAGTCTATACACAATGCTGGTTGAAACTTTAGCAGAAAAAAAGAAAAGATGTAGTATATTCCAGATGGAGAATCATTACTTAGTATTTTGTGTGTATATTAGTAAAACATTTAGTGATTTTAAAAAAAAGTGGGTTAAGACTTGGTGGGTGAAACTCACAGAGACAGCTAACCTGAACAAGGGGAAACTCATAGACCCCAGACTGATAGCTGAGAGGCCAGAATGGGACTGATCCAGACCCCCTAAATATGAGTGTCAGTGAGTAGGCCTCGGCATTTTGGGGGGCCTTGGGCAATAGCTCAGCATTTAGCCCTGTCATCTACATGGACTTGGGGAGCCCATTCCACATAGAGGGATGCTATCTTCACCTGGACACATGGGGGGAGGGCCTAGGCCCTACCCCAGATTATATGGCACACTTTCAAGATCCCCCATGAAGGGTCTCACCCTCCTTGGAGAGGGGAGTGGGGATTGGGGGAGGGGTTGGGGGAGGGTTAAAGGAGGCAGGAGAAGAGGGGAGGGAGAGAGAGCTGGGATCGACATGTAAAGCAAACTTGTTTCTAATCTACATTAAATAAGTAATAAAAATATTTTAATTCCTTGCCGTTATGTGCCCCTCACTGAAGGCTATAACTGGGCTATAACAATTATTACAAAAGCTTATATTAATATTAATAGAACTTATGGTTATTCCCAGGGAGAACTACCTTTGTAAGAAATTTAATCTTAGCTGATCTGAACAGGGGAGAGCTCTTGGACTCCAGACCGACAGCTGCGAGGCCAGCATGGGACCCCCTGAATGTGAGAGTCATTGAGGAGGCCTGGGCAACCTATGGGGCCCTGGGCAGTGGATCAGTGTTTATCCCTGGCATACAAACAGACATTGTATGTCCATAACACAAAGAGGGATGCTCTCTCAGTCTGGACTCTTAGGGGAATGCCTGGACCCTGCCCTGGGTGAAATGACAGACTCTAGACCCTATGTAGAAGGAAATGGCGATAGGGTGGGAGGCTGGGGGGAATGGCAGGGAGGGGAGTGTGGAAGGAGAGGAGGGTGAGGAAACTGGGATTGGCATGTAAAACAAGCTATTTAAAATTAAAATAGTAAAAAAAGAAAAAGTCAAAAAAAGAACTGGATCTGTATGGAATTGATGTTGCAATAAATGCCCTGCACACTTGAGGAAAAAAAAAGAAACTTAGTCTTTTATATAATGAATTACATAAGTGGTATTAACAAAGGCATAGGATTTGAAAAAAATATTAAAGAAGAAATCCTTATGTAAATTTTAGAAGCTGATAAAGTATAACAAAATCATCATGTTTTTAAGTTTTGTCCCAGAAACATGGAACTAACATTGACAAGGAAATTATTTTGATCATAAAATTAATGATAAGGCTTTGTACCCTCCTAAAGGCAAAGTAAGCAGTTTTAGTAATTTTGATGCTCTTTGAATCACTGTAGGATTGTAATAACAGAGACGATACTGAAACAAGAATTTACAGCAGAGACACAAAGAGAAATAGTTTGACTTAATAAACTGCCTGGCTTCCTGAACAGAATTGGCATATCAGGACTTTTCTGATTGTAGAAAGAATAAATAGCAGAACACAATATTTCAGAAGTCAAGGGAAAGTATGGTGGTCTTGTTTTAGATATGAAAGAATAAAATTAAACAAGGGACTGAGGAATTAGATTTCTGTATCAAGAACAGATATTCATTATCATAGGTAAAATACCATAGGATAAGCTTGAAAGAGAAGGTAGTAGAAAATAATTTCTGATCGACTAATTCAGTCAAAATTAAACACAGACTTCCTGTCTGGTTTTTCTATAAATACAAGGCTTTACAATACCAATTTTATGGGGAAAAGTATTAACAGAGTTGATTTTATCATAATGTTAGATTTTATTTCTTATGAAATTTTCTGTTGTAATAATGGGAGACTTTAGAAAAACTATGTACCATGGAAAGATTTTGTAATCAATGATTAAAGTATATGAGGAAAAGATTTTTTGTATAAATAAAGCCTATAGGAGGTGTAGGTCAAGTCATACAAACATGTGCTTACTCTGTCTATCCTTCATAAAATGACATTCAAAAGAGTTCTGCACCAGATTTCTCAATTACTGCATCCAAGCACTTCACAGCCTACCCTCACTCAGAGCTGCACTCCAGAATCTACTAATTTATCTGCACATTTCATGCTTTAAATCATTTTTTGTTGAATAATAGTTTATTATGCACAAGAAGAGCGTAATTCTTTTTTTTTTTTTTTTTGGTTTTTACGAGACAGGGTTTCTCTGTATTGCTTGGAGGCTGTTGGTCCAGCCTGGCCTCGAACTCAGAGAGATCCGCCTGCCTTCTGCCTCCTGAGTGTTGGGATTAAAGGCGTGCGCCACCACCGCCCGGCAAGAGCATAATTCTTATGTTCCAGGTTGATTACATTTTCTAGCTACAGTGAATAGAGCAGTAGTAAAGTTTCATGAGCAAGAGTCTTTGTAGTAAGAAAAAGAATGAATTGGAATACAACCAAGTGTATGTAGCTGGGATGTATGTAAATTCTATTCCTAATTCTGTAAGAAATTTCAAGACTGATTTCTAAATTGACTGCACTAGTATGTACTCCCACCAACAGTGTGCAAGTGATCTTCCCAGTATCCACGCCACCTGGTTTGAAATGTGTGTTCTTGATGAGGCTTTTCTTATTGAGTGACATGGTTTTTTAATGCAGTTTTAATTTGCATTTCCTCGATGGTTGAGCACTTTTTAGAAAAAATATTTCATCAATCCTTTGGACATTTTGTACAATTTATTTTGTAGGATCCATATTTTTACTTCTGCTTGTTGAGAATTTTGTTCACAAGAACTATATTTACATCATTTGTGTCACATCCTCTCCCTCCACCCCATTTATTGTCCCCATTCTCCATGTAAAATTCATAAATTCTCTGTTAAGAAATTTGATATACATACAAAGAGATAGAGATGTGCACACAAACACAGAGAAAGACACAAACATCTAATGAGTACATTTACTGCTGCTGGCATGGGCTCATCCCTAGAGAAGGCTGGAATCCATCTCTCAGCACTCATTGATTGCCTGTGGTTCTAGGGGTGTGGACATGTGAGATTTCCCCATCTCTTTTTCATGTCTACTGGTGGTGTTATTCAGTAGGCCATATTTAAATGACTGGTTAGGATACCATAAATGCAGCTTCACTGTTGTAGAGAAGATAGACTATCACCCAGCACCCTAGTCCTCCAAGTCTAGGGTTATGGGCATGGAGTGAAAGCGTAGCGCTGCCTGAAGACAGAGCTAGCTGGTGGTGAAGGCCTAACCCAATCAATGCTTGGACCCACTTTACCTATGGAGTTGGGGCTTTAGTAGACTGCAACAACAGTAAAATCCTGGAATTACTCCGAGAACTTGGAGAAGAAATAAAAAATCAAGCAGCAGCTCCGTGACTATGGTGGGTACAGCTCCTCTGTGCAGCTCCTCTGTATTTCTCATGCATTCATACCCCACTTGAGCATAAGATAAAGCATTATTTTAATTTGTATTTATCTATAAAAATAGCAGTTAAATGTTGGTGTATGAACTTGAACGATCATAGAACAGGGAGCAGACTCTAGTTGATTGCTCCCTCTTCCATTCCTCCATCCAGAAGGGCAGAGATCCTCTATCTTCCCCACTTGCTACTTCCTGTCTCTCCTCTGAATATAATGCTCCAAACCTCTGTGGTTAATTTAGGTCATCTAGTGGCTAGCTCCACCCTCTGACTCCAAACAAGTTTTATTTGTTATCACACAATCAAAATATCACACAATAGAAACACAGATATTACAAGTATAGTATAAAATATTAAGACTATGAAGGGTTCAATAAAGATATCCCTGTACTGTTGAAAATAATGTTAATCTGGTCTCATCAAAAGGAGATAACACTTTGGGACAAAGATGCATCCTAATAGCCCTGCACTGGAGGCCAAGATGGAGAAGACCTCCACAGCCACCATGACCTTTCCCTTTGTGCTATGGTAGACAGGGAGGAAGGTGATCCACACACTCAAGAACACCAGCATGCTGAAGGTCAGGAATTTGGCTTCATTGAATCTCTCAGGAAGATTCCTGGCCAAGAAAGCCACAGTGAAGCTCCCCAAAGCCAAGGAGCCCAAGTATCCCAGGACAAAATGGAATGCAATGACGGAGCCTTTGTTGCACACAATGATGATCTGCCCATATTCAGACAAATCTGTGGCAATAAAGGGGGGTGATGTCACAAGCCATGTTGCACAGATAACAAGTTGGACCAGGGTACAGATGGGAATGACAAAGTTAGGTGCCCCTGATACCAGCATGCCTCTCATCCTTCTTCCTGGAGTAGTGAGCTTAAAGGCCAGCACTACAGTAATTGTCTTGGCCAACACAGTAGATACAGCCACTGTGAAAAAGACTCCAAATGTGGTCTGCTGCAGGATGCAGGTGACTATGTTGGGATGACCAATGAACAGTAATGAGCAGAGAAAAGAGAAGCCAATGGAGACCAGTAGGATGTAGCTGAGAGTGCGGTTATTGGCCTTCACAATGGGGGTGCCATTGTATTTCACAAAAGATCCAAGAACTAGAGCTGTGAGTGCTGAGAAGCACAGGGACATGCAGGCCAGAGTCATCCCCAATGGGTCTTCATAAGCCAGAAAGGAGACACGTCTTTGATGGCAGTGTGTGTGCTCTGCATTGGAATACTGGTCATCGGGACATCTCACACAATGCTCCATATCTGTTGAAGAACATTAATGATAAACTCATTTAAAATTCCATCATCATATACTTCATATGTATCAGATAATCATATTGATCAGATGATGCCTCAGTAACCATTTTGGTGTTCAGCAACAACTGTCTTCCTTGTTGCTGTAGGGAGAAGTAAGGTCAGGCTGCTCTGCATTAGTCCATCCCTGGTGATGGAGCATGTCACATTCATCATAAAGGGAACTGATGAATTACTTATTCTTATTTATCAAATTCCAGATTAATTAAAGTTTTTAAAAATAAGAAAAATAGATCTCCGGGCCTGTGGACTGCAGCCAGCTCAACTTACCCTGGGAGAATCAAGAGACCAGGAGTCTGTTGAGATAGCAAGTATACTGCTGCCCCCACTCAGGGCAGAGGGCAGAGGTGATCTCCAGGCCCCCATCTCAGTTCCTGCTTTCTGCCACTTGCCCTCTCTGGGATCTCTGGGCCTGGAGAATGCAGCCAGCTCAAATTGCCCCAGGAGGAGCAACCAGGAGCCTGCTGAGAGAGAAGGTCCACTTCTGCTCCCACTCAGGGCAGAGGGCAGAGTTGAGCTTCCGGCCCTTATCTTGGTTCCTACTTCCTTCTCCTTGCCCTCTCTGGGATTTCTGGGCCTGGAGAATGCAGCCAGCTCAACTTGCCCCCAGGAGGAGCAACCAGGAGCCGGCTGAGAGAGAAGGTCCACTTCTGCTCCCACTCAGGGCAGAGGGCAGAGTTGAGCTTCCGGCCCTTATCTTGGTTCCTACTTCCTTCTCCTTGCCCTCTCTGGGATTTCTGGGCCTGGAGAATGCAGCCAGCTCAACTTGCCCCCAGGAGGAGCAACCAGGAGCCTGCTGAGAGAGAAGGTCCACTTCTGCTCCCACTCAGGGCAGAGGGCAGAGTTGAGCTTCCGGCCCTTATCTTGGTTCCTACTTCCTTCTCCTTGCCCTCTCTGGGATTTCTGGGCCTGGAGAATGCAGCCAGCTCAACTTGCCCCCAGGAGGAGCAACCAGGAGCCGGCTGAGAGAGAAGGTCCACTTCTGCTCCCACTCAGGGCAGAGGGCAGAGTTGAGCTTCCGGCCCTTATCTTGGTTCCTACTTCCTTCTCCTTGCCCTCTCTGGGATCTCTGGGCCTATGGACTGCAGCCAGCTCAACTAGCCCCAGGAGGACCAACTTACCAGGAACCTGTTGAAGGGGCAGGTCTACTCCCACCCCCACTTAGGACAGAGGGCAGAGGGCAGAGAGCAGAACTCCCACCCACTGGGAAAGGGAGTGAATCAGACCTGTCTGCACCAAGTGTGAGACCAGTCAGTGAATTGGACATGCTTGCATCCAGCAGAAGAGAACCTTGGATGCATACCCACCAGGAGAGGAAGAGATCCCACCTGTACCCACTGAAAGGAGGGATGGGAGGATGACAATATAGGAACAAATTCAACAACAGAAAAACCAGTATGATGCCACCAGAATCTAGGAATTGTACACCAGCAAGAACTGAACATCACAAAACAGATGAAGCAGAAGAGAACAAACTTAAAAACAACTTCATGAAGATGATAGAGACCCGAAAAGAAGAAATGAGAAAAATCCTCTAAATAGATGGAAGAAAAACAAACAAAAAATGCCAGAAATGGAGGGAAAGACAAACCAAAAATTGCAAGAAACAGTTCAAAAAGTGCAAGGTTTGAAAGTTGAAATAGAAACAATAAAAAACACAGTCTAAGGAAACACTAGAAATAGAAAAGCTGGGTAAGTGATAAGGAACTACAGATGCAATCATAACCAACAGACTACAAGAGCTAGAAGTGAGAATCTCTGGGACTGAAGATTCACTAGGAGAAATAGATTCATTGACCAAAGAAAATCATAAATCCAATAAATCCCTAACACAAAATATCCAGGAAATATGAGACAGTGAAAAAGGCCAAACTTAAGAATAATAGGTATAGAAGAAGGTGAAGAAACCCAGCTAAACATGCAGAAAACATATTCAACAAAATAACAGAAGAAAACTTTCCCAACCTAGAGAAAGATATGCCAATGAAAGTACAAGACGCCCACAGAACACCAAATAGAGTAGACCACAAAAAAGTCCCCTCTCCACGTAATAATACAAACCCCAAACATACAGAATAAAGAACTAATATTAAGAGCAGCAAAGGAAGAAGGCCAAGTAACATATAAAGGCAAACCTATCAGAATCACACCTGGCTTCCCCTTGGAAACTCTGAAAGCCAGAAGGTCCTGGATAGATATCCTAACAACACTAAGAGACCATGGATGCCAGCCCAGACTACTGTACCCAGCAAAGCTTTCAAATACTATGGATAGACAAAACAAGATATTCTAAAACGAAAAGATTTTAAAATTCATATCCACTAACTCAGCCCTACAGAAAGTACTGGAAGGAAAACTTCAGCCTAAGTAAGGTAACTATGCTCACAGAAAAAGGCAATGGATAATACAACATTACCAAAATCCAAAAGGAACAGGAGGGTAAATCCACAAACAATAGTGCTACCAAAAACAAATCAAAACCAAACAATAATCAAGACTCAATGGTCCTTATTTCCCTCAATATTAATGGTTTTAATTTGTCTATAAAAAGACACAGGCTAACAGAATGGATACGAAGACAGAATCCATCCTTCTACTGCATACAAGAAATTTCAACTTCAAAAACAGACATTACCTCAGAGTAAAAGGTTGAGATAAGATTTTCCAGTCAAATGGTCCCAAGAAACAAGCTGGTGTGGCTATCCTAGTATTGAACAAATTAGACTTCAAACTAAAATCAACCAAAAGAGATGAAGAAGATCATTTCATATTCATCACAGAAAAAAAATCCATCAGGACCAAGTCTCAATTCTGAACATCTATGCCCCAAATACAAGGGTGCCCACATTTCTAAAAGAAACATTACTAAAACTCAAATCACACATAAGACCTCACCAGTTATAGTAGGAGACTTCAAACCCCACTAGACAGGACCACCAGACAGAAACTCAACAAAGAAACAAACAAACCAAAGAAGCTTTAACCCAATTGGGTTTAACAGACATGGATAGAACATTCCATCCAAACACAAAAGAATATACCTTCTTCACAGCCCTACATGGGACCTTCTCTAAAATCAACCACATCCTTGGCAACATAGCAAACCTCAACAGGTACAAAAAAATGGAATAACCCCCTATATCTTAGCAGACCACCATGCTTTAAATTTAGAATTCAACAGCATCACAAATTGCAGAGAGCTTACAAACTCATGGAATTGAACAACACACAACTGCACCATTCCTAAGTCAAGAAAGAAAGAAAGAGAAATGAAAGGCTTCCTAGGATTCAATGAAAATGAAGACACAACACACCCAAACTTATGGGACACTTTGAAAGCAGTGCTAAGGGGAAAGTTCTTAACACTAAGTGCTCATATGAAGAAACTGGAAAATAGTCACATTAGAGAATTAACAGTACACCAGAAAGCTCTAGAACAAAAGGAAACAAACTCACACAGGATGAACAGATGCCAGGAAATAATCAACTTGAGGACTGAAATCAACAATGTTGAAACAAAGAAACAATACAAAGAATCAGTGTAACAAAGATTGCTTCTTTGAGAAAAAAACAAGATAGACAAATGCTTATCCAAAGTAACCAAAAGACAGAGAGAACATGCAGACGAATGAAATCAGGGGAGACATAACATCAGACACTGAGATAATCCAGAGAATACTCAGGTTATACTTTGAAAACCTGTACTTCACAAAACTCGAAAATTTAGAGGAAATGAGCAATTTTCTGGAGAGACATCACTTACCAAAATTAAATCAAGAACAGATAAGCAATCTAAACAGACTTTTTCTATAAGGCCTCAAAAACCTTCATCCCCAAGCCACACAAAGACACAACCAAGAAAGAGAACTTCACACCTATATCCCTCATGAACATTGATGCAAAAATACTCAATAAAATACAGGCAAATCAGATCCAAGAACACATCAAAACAATCATTCACCACGATCAAGTAGGTTTCATCCCAGGGATGCAGAGATGGTTCAACATGTGAAAATCCATCAACGTAATCCACCATATAAACAAGCTGAGAAACAAAAATCACATGATCATCTCACTAGATGCTGAAAAAGCCTTTGACAAACTCCAACACCCCTTAATGATAAAGGTCTTGGAGAGATCTAGAATAACAGGAACATACCTAAACATAATAAAAGCTTTATACATCAAACCAACAGGCAACATCAAACTAAATGGACAGAAACTCAATGTGATTCTGCTAAAACCAGGAACAAGACAAGGCTGCCCACTCTCTCCATACTTTTTCAACATTGTACTTGAAGTTCTAGGCAGAGCCATACGACAACAAAAGGGGATCAAGGGGATAGAAATTGGGAAGAAAGAGGTCAAACTTTCACTATTAGCAGATGATATAATAGTTTACATAAATGACCCAAAGAACTCTACCAGGGAACACTTACAGCTGATTAACACTTTCAGCAAAGTGGCAGGCTACAAGATCAACTCAAAAAAGTCAGTAGCCGTACTATAAACAGATGATAAAAGGGCTGAGAAAGAAATCAGAGAAACATCCCCCTTTACAATTGCCACAAACAACATAAAATACCTTGGGGGTAACGCTAACCAAAAAAGTGAAAGACCTGTATCACAAGAACTTTGAGTCTTTAAAGAAAGAAATTAAAGAAGCCCTCAGAAAATGGAAAGATCTCCCATGCTCTCGGACAGGTAGGATCAATGTAGTAAAAATAGCAATCCTTCCAAAAGCAATCTACAGATCCAATGCAATCCCCATTAAAATCCCAGCACAATTCTTCACAGTCCTTGAAAGAACAATAATCAATTTTGTATGGAAAAGCAAAAGACCCAGGATAGGCAAAACAACCTTACTCAACAAAGCAACATCTGGAGGCATCACCATCACTGACCTCAAGCTCTATTATGGAGCTGTAGTGCTGAAAACAGCTTGGTAT